CGGTCACCTGTGTCTACAGTCATGGTCTTATCACCTTCCAAGTGGGACGTCTTTAATTATCGACATTTTTGAGATCACAAAAATAGGATTCATATGTGATCACCCGAGACTTGTAAGACAACCCCTAGTTATAATCAAAGCTCATTGCTTAGAAGTATCTGTAGACATAAATCGCATGCAAACTATTCAAAATACTTCAACGTTAATCAAAGGTTTTCTTAGTATTATAATGAAAGAGCAGTCCTATAACATTAGTAGACGTTGTTTGTATTGTTATAAAATGTATACAATACCAAAAATGTAGATAGCAATACCATCGATCCTAGATTACTTGTTCTTGATATGATTAGCATGTATAGTTCCTGAATCATTATCGTCATTGTCTTACTTTGTTTCTCTTTTGAGCATTTGATTCAAAACATAAGTTTCTTTCTGGATAAACACATTGGTTCGTAAGTCCATAAATCTCGGGGTTATGGCAATTTGTTGTGACAGGGCCGTAGCTAAGATTCATAGATTAATATACACCATCTGTGAAGAATGAACAGATTTGCCTGACGACTAAATGGTTGCGAAATTGTTCATGAATAATAGAATAGGTTTTGGGTGTAAATAAGCCAATGGTCAACTGACTGAATAAAGATCAGATTGGTTACTGAACGAAACAGCTACATGTTACATAAATCATGATATTTTTTTTTAACTTCACATAATAAAATCAACGCAGAACGCATATTGAAAGAGAAATTGAATTGCAGATTGCAATATTTAAGTGACGATTGAGTGGCACAGAGTTTTGCAGAAGCAAGATATAATACATATAGTTTTATTCTATTATAATAATTTCTCAGTATCATCCCGACACTATCAATGATATAGTAAAATTTAATGATAAACCGTACGTGGCTAGTAAGTGAAACAATGTAAATATGATAAAATACATATCTGCTTTGGGATAAGGCAATCGTGTGATGTAACTTAAATGTTTTATTTACTTTAATAACATATCTGACCTTTATATTAGATGATTCGGCAATTCACTTTCCAATATATCCTATCCTATAATGATATATCCAATGATTAAAGATGAATGATACGCCTCATATCAAAAAGAAAGAGTACCTGCACAATTGAAGCTTTAATCATTTTTTATGTACATGTATCTTTACTTGCAAGATTATTTTCAACGTCATTGTTATTCTTTACAACTGAGTGCAAGTGGTCATTGAAAGGTATTGATATAAAAATTGAATCCTTGTTCCGGTTGATATATAGACCACTTCACAAATAAGTTTATGATTTACCAGATATTTACTCCTTAATATTTTTATATATGAAAAGTGATATACACTAACACAATCGACAAAACATTTTCTTTAACACGTTTGTTTAAAACATGACAATATTACATATAAAAAATACATATATCAATTTAAATATAAATTATATATATAATATAATTATCAATTTATATATTGCTGTCAATATATGCCGAGTCAAATCATAATCTCCCTTTGGACTCGTTCAATAGACCCTGTCAATATAAAACGGATATAGTTATTACTTCATATTTATCAATCCTTTCATAAGAATTACTAACTGCAATTTCTCACTATTTTCTGTTTCCAGTCAATATTTTTTACTATCTATATACTGCTATTTATGTCGTTCGATGAATTATTTATTGAAGGTTCACACCATTTTCGGCTTCGGAATATGCCTCAATCTAATATCCGGTAAAACCAAACGATATTCAGTGCCAGTTTATCTGCACTGATATACTTTTATGTCACCACTTTCCGATATTTCTGAAATATTGGTGTTCTATAACATATTAACGGGTATGATGTTTATTTGTGCTAACATCAAATTTATCATGACTTTTACAGATAGATTTGAAGTGCCATGAAGCTATAGCGTACATTTATACTTGCCCTGTATTTAATACATTGTGCAATACGGGAGGGCGTTCAATATAAATTATGTTATATAATAATATAAAAAAATGGATGTAACCCTAAAATTCAATAAATTCATTATAAACCGTTTATCGAGGCTATCTATGAAATCTCAAATAATAGGGTCGGTTTTATCTGTAGACTTCGAAATGTTTTCAAGTCTGTACATTTGAAAAAGCCCCGTTGTTAATTGTTGTTTACATGTTATATGTACGTGCAGCTTGAGTGCAAATATTCAATAAAGTTATTAGATTTTAACAAATTATACCATTGAAGTATGCCATTTTGCATCTAACAAGGTAATAATCTGGTATTATTCAAAACGAGCGATACCTATGCTGATCAGATTCTACCAAAGATTCTTCCGAGACAAGATATATTTCGGCACAAATTGCACACAAATTGAATTTATAACAACATTAAATGAAAAAAAAATAATTATTTGAAAATAATAAATTTAAGTCTTAAAACTCGAGTAGAGTAAACTTTCCCGACATGTACATGCATTGTGCATCTTCTTTGAAAACCGTCAATGGACATATCGTATTATATGTTAACTGTCTTTGTATTGTACTTGTGTCACAGATTTATACTCTACCTAAAGAACCGTAAAACCTAGAACAAAAATAAATTTCGATATACGTTAAAAATGAAATGTTTATGTATTTTGCTTACGGACTACATCTTATAGAAAAAAATAATAATGGTTTGCATTTTACTAGCGCCATGCCTTCACGATTTAAGTTCTGAATGTGATATCATAACTTCTCATCAAAGACATAAAGGATATTGGATGGGTGCACGTTCAATACCTCACGTCAAAACTTTTACCTATGAAAGCGGCAATATTTCAAAGAAGAAAAACTCGACAAATGTGGGGTTTCGATTACAAACGTGCACTACCGTTCTCAAAGAGCGTTCGGCACGATGTTGCTTAGTTCCCCGAGATTATATATGTTTGCCGAGTTCCGGAGAAAGTATAACATTACTTCTGTTTATTCTTTGAGCAAATAATGATAACTATAAGTCATAATACATGCACTGAGATGTGTTTCATTTGGAAATTAAAAACAATTTATACGGGTTGTGAAATTTGTAATATGATTATTTTCTATTTTTAATTTTATAGCCTCAAGTTTTGACAATGTGCGACTACAATGTCATTTATCTGAATATGGATATGTCTGCCATATGTTTCTAAAAGATTAAATTCTTAAATCATTCATTGTTACATGCTTTAATTGTCTGCTTGTACCATTTTTATAAATATGGCCTAAAATACTTTTCATTGCTTACAAATGTTCAGTTTTTTCCTCTTCCATCAAAACAGTTTTAACAACTAAATTCTCTGTTGTACATAATCACTGTGGCGATTACCCTACTTGGTTAACTTCGAAAAATCATAAGCTCAAACGGCAAACCGATTTTCTAAATAATTTACCCAATGACCAAATATTACTATTAAAATGTACCTTTTATCTATGTAGCACATTTCTTTGTCACACACTTGGAGAAAGAATAACTAGGATTAACCTAAGGAAAATATATGTTTCCACCTATCTAGCTCACTTCACAGTGCTCTTCGTTCACAAAAAAGTTAAAGAGATCAACACATTACTCTTATATTATGTTGTAACTGTAAAAGATTGTTTTGTACCCCGAGGTAAGATGGGGAAAAAACCTCATATTACGGAGTATATTTATAAACATAACAAAAAAATGCGCGACTGATTCGATAAAGTTTTAACAGTTGTGCACTCGTCCAATAAAATTTTGTTTTGTGTAACGTCATGTAATTCCACACCTTATAAAATGTAAGCGTATACCCTAATACATTGTATAAATCGTTCTTTAGTCAAATCAATTTAGACTCATTTTCAATTTGAGGCAAAAGAAATTCATATCAAATTCAGATTGTAGTCTATCTAGTCACATTTTCATTTTTTGTATCCAAAAACTTTATATCAAAATATCAAAACCATATTTTTTCCATCTAGTCTTCAGTCTAGTCTTCAGAGTCCAAAAAATATATATCAAAAGTATATTGTACTTTTAGTAACAGTATTTTAGTGTAATAATGTTCAATTTCAGTGTTTTCTTCTAGATGTTTCCCACCTATAAAATAAGAGGTATTATACTGTATACAATATTTATACTATTGAATTTGTACACAGTATTATACTCAGCAATGTATAATAATGTCATATTTCTATCAACGCTATTCACGATAGTTACAGCAAAGAGAAACAACTTCGACGTTCTGAATCCACATGCCTTGAATAAATTTCGTCCCTTTAATACATTAAAATAAAGTATGCAGTCTATGAAAATAAACATAATGAAAATAAGTCATGTATATGTGCTTTCCTTAGATGATGATATCAAAATATAAATAACACTGACAAATCAAAGCGTATTGTCGTTGGATTTACATTGTCCCTTCGCTATAATAACTTAAGGTCGTGGTATGACAATGCTAATGTGTCAACGTTACCACCGCTTATATGCCACATATATGATTGTTTATGGTAAAACATCCACGAATACTTAACGATATGATAGAATAATTGTCTACTTTCATGTTGTTCATTAAGCCTTACGCCTTACAAGAACTTAAAGAAATAGAAATGTATCTTTAAGTAAATTCTGACTTCTATGCATCACACGTATACATGTATGGTATTCATCTCTGCTCTACGAATGTTACGAAAGTTACCCCTGTAGTTACAGCTAAAACAAATGTCATTTTACATGGGTTGTCGTGCGCCTAGAGAAACTGGTTTCTTAACTGCAATGTGTTGGTCAATGGATCTAGACTGTACTAGCATTGACTTTTCTCAAACGCTTACACGTACATGTTGTAAATGTAATTCCAATGGAAACGGTATTACTTATGGGATTGGTAATAAATGCGATCAAACAGTCCGACTTTTCTCACTATATCTAAAAACGTAGGTGGCCCAGCGTTAGTATTTCAGAGTAATATCAGCTAATACACAATTTAATCATTTATGTTATAAATAATAACAAAGAATATTGATTATCTATGATTTATGACCAGCAGATGGAAAGTTAACATTAGTCATTCAAATTTATCACATTGTCATTCTATCTATCAAGTATCCTAAATATCAAAACACATAGATGGGTATATATGTATATTGAATCTGGAATTGGTAAAAAATATATAAAGCATGGGCAAAACAAAACAGTTCAATCATATGTTTTAAGACGTTTTAGTGCATTGAAAATAATACAGTAATGGAACAATAACTAAGTATATTTTACTGGAGATTGATGAAATTTTTAGTAGGCCTCGGCTAACGAGATGACAGTGAAATAACAAAAATTCGTATGAGACCAAGCAGCACAGATAACTCTGAGATGAAAATGAACTGTAAAAATCAGCAGACGAGTGTCCGTTGTAAAATATTGTATAAAACATATTATGACAGAAACCATGTCGAATAAAACTTTAAAAGCCGAAAGAACATTATAACATATAACTTAAGTCTATCATTAACAGAAATTGTCGCATTATGCCTCAATGTTTGATTGACTCAGTTCATCTTTATACATCTTTTCTTCTTCTTCTAATAACTGCCTGAGAGCTTCTCGTCTGATCTGAAAAGTTTTGTTTTTGGTTGGATTGTGTGGCTACATTAGTTACATTATTAATTGTTCATGGAATAATCCAGTGAAAAAATATGACAATATGTTATGTAATTATCCATTATTTTATGGAAATATGCCATCGAAACAAGATACATAGGTAGATATCTGCATAAAAAATCAGTTAATAATTTTGTGATTATCAAACTATCATGTTTGTTAATTACTTAAAAGCCTGTTGTTGGTTTTTTATAATTGAACTATGCTCAATTCCTTATTGGCAAGACGCGAAACATACAGTCAGCCCACGTGATCAGTTTGATTTAGAAAATCTAAGACAAAAATATATACAAAATGTCAGATGCTTTAACATTTACATGTTTAAAGAACAGTACATATTGCACAACAATTCCTAACAAAAAACAGTCAAGTAATGAACATTAGGCATTCGGATATATCGAGTGTTCTTTACATGGAGATTTTAAATATTTTATAATATACTTTCATTTCATGATAAAAAAAACCATATTTACTATAAGAAAAGCTTTTGCCGCTAATTTTACGTCAGCTCCTGCTTTAATTCGTTCTCGTTTAATTCGTCTTCTGTGACACGCTATCTCCATCTCCTCTGTCCAGCGTTGCCTGTCACTTCCTTTTCGTTTCCTAGCAACCAATATATACATATATACTATTAAACTAATAAGCAACGTAATAGACCTTTCCATTTTTAGCTATATGGAAAAGTCATAACATTCAATGTAATGTTAATTACAGGTCCGTTGTGTTAACCAGTTCAACCAGTTACCGTTTATTATCTCTGTGTAGCAATTTGATAACCAGTCAACCAATTTGCATAAAACGGTTAACACTGGAAATTTTCATTGTTTTTTGGTTAAAACGGTTATATTATGGCACGGCCGTGGATATGTGTTATACAAACACATTGAAAACAAATCACGAAAAATAATGTTAGCGTAGAAAATCGTCAATGACACTTTGTTTCTTTTATTCTTTTTTTTTCTATTTTCTTTTCTTTTCATTTTTCTGTATGTGTATAGAATATCCATCATATATTCCTATACATCGTAGCTGCATTGCTTATTTCTTAAACTCGTTGGATGAAAGAGTATTATTCAACTCGTTGAATAATTTTGGTGTTGAGACTATACCCATTAAAAATCTTCTCAATCATGTAACAAATAGTTTTAGAAAGAAAATCAAGCAAAATAAACCAATTGTAACTTCAAGTGTATTTAGTTGTATATGCAATACAATGATCATTGGATACTTACGATTTCTTTTCTTCTTCCTCTTCTTTAACTTTCTGCTCAATATGTTCAATGTCCTTCACCAAGGTGTCCCAAAAGTCATTGAATTTATAGCTAGACACAACAAAACGTTACACGTGCAATAAGTTTGTTAAATGATATTGAACAGCAATTCGTTAAGATGTATTTTTAAAAATGTTGAATTAAAGAAAATTAAACACTTTTACTATATAAAGACGTAGTTTTTTTCTATAAATATTATTTATAGTTTTTCATCATCATCATCATCATCATCATCATCAACATCACCACTACTACCACCACCACCACCATCATCATCACAATAATCATCATCGTCATCATCATCACCACTATAATTATCATCGCCATTGTTGCCGTTGTTGTCTTCATTGTCATTGTTTTCAACATTATCATCGGCTATATCATCAATGGTATTATATTTATTACTAGTAAATTATAAAATCATTAACATCGCCATCATGCCGTCGGCGTCGTTATCATCATTTTTTTACTTAATGTTGATGTCTTTTTGTTTTTATTTTGGAGTGTCATGGGATACGAATCTTAAAGTCTTAAAGATGTCATTACTTTGTTTAATAATATTAACATGTAGATTGTACAATATGGCTATCACTTACCTCCTCATTTGTCTTCCCTTGCAGGCCATTACTTCTTACTCTGTGAAGTTAAATATAAAATGAACGTTAGCAGCAATCTTAGCCAATTTGAAATTCCTGGTCTTGATATCACAGTTCTGTTTTTATTGTCATAAATAATAATATTATAGATATATAAATTAATTATTTTCAAGATCGTAAACACTTAATTATAATCTATTTTATGGTAAACAAATACTTTATATATTTTGCAATATTATATGACTTATAAATCACTGTAAACATACAAATATATACATATTTATACATTATACACGTATTTCTTTTTTATTTACAATATACTGAAATATTATTAAAATGTTTCTATATAACGATTAGCTTACCTATTTATCCCGAAAATCTCAAACGCATTGAAATAATGTGCAAAATTTATACAAAATTTTCATAAACAGTATCGATATTTTCCTTTCATATTAGTATAATAAATTGATTTGAAACATACTTAAACTCAAAAACGTGAATAGAATGAAAGGTGGCATGGAGTAACTCAAGCATCAAGTCGGGTATATCTATACAGCGTTCGCCTGTAAAGTTACCATATTTAAGATGGAAAATCTTTTGAAAGAAGTTCAAAACCATATTATTTGAAAGTATATAATAAACTGGCTGATATAAATCCGTACATTTTGACTCGCTAGAAGAATTTATTTATTTTATTTATTTATGTCAGTTTATACATCCAACAAATGTTAAAATATAAAGTATAATTCAGCACTTTAGATACTTGCGTTATCGTTAAAATCAAATCACATATCTACAAATAAAAAGTTACCATGATAAAATAATATGCCTATCATTTTAAAACAATACGTAAATTGAGTGGCGGCATGACCGAGTGGTTTTTTTAGTTTTAGCTGCCCCGTAAAGGGGCCAATCAAATTAATATGAGCAAACTTGATATAAGACTATCCAAGGAAGCTACAGACAAAGTTTGGTGTGATCATCCATCAATTTGTTCTGTAGAAGAAGTCTCTAAAGTTTTTTTTTCTAATTTTAGCTCTAGAGACCCCTTAAAGGGACTAATCAAATTAGTATGAGCAAACTTGATATAAGACTACCCAAAAATTCTACAGACAAAGTTTGGTGATCATCCATCAATTAGTTCTGTAGAAATAGACGTTTAAAGGTATTTCTATTTTAGTTTTAGCTGCCCCGTAAAGGGGCCAATCAAATTAATATGAACAAACTTGATATAAGACTATCCAAGGATGCTACAGACAAAGTTTGGTGATCATTCATCAATTAGTATTAGTTCTCTAGAAGACGTTTTAATGTTTTTATTTTTTAGCCCTAGAGACCCCTAAAAGGGGCCAATCAAATTAATATGAGCACACTTGATAAAAGACTACCTAAGAATGCTACAGACAAAGTTTGGTGACCATCCATCAATTAGTTCTGTAGAAGAAGATGTTTAAAGATATTTCTATTTTTAGTTCTAGCGGCCCTAAAAGGGGCCAATCAAAATAATATGAGCAAACTTGATAAGAGACTACCCAAGAATGCTACAGACAAAGTTTGGTGACCATCCATCAATTAGTTCTGTAGAAGAAATTGTTTAAAGATTTTTCTATGTTTAGCCCTAGAGACCCCTTAAACGGGCAAATCACTTTAATATGAGCAAACTTGATAAAAGACTACCCAAGAATGGTACAGACAAAGTTTGGTGATCATCCATCAATTAAGTCTGTAGAAGAAGAAGATGTTTAAAGGGGTTTTTTTTCTATTTATAGCTCTGTTGACCCCTTAAAGGGGCCAATTGAAATGACATGAGCAAATTCAAGTGTGGCTGTCATTAGGATGCTACAGACCAAATTTGAAGCAAATCTGCCCAGCAGTTTCAGAGAAAAAGGCGATTGTTGACGCATGACGACGGACGACAGACTCCAGAGCATCCCCCTTTGATACTAAAAGCTCACCCTTAACCTTCGGTTCTGGTGAGCTAATAATAAGACGATATGTTATGCACAACACCTGCACCTCTACCTCCAATGTCAAGGTCACACATTAAGGTCAAAGCTTAACATAATACATTTTTAAATTCCGTGTTTCATTTTATTTCCTTAAAAAAATTATTGTTGCATTTTCAGATCTAGCATTGATCATAATTTATGACTGAAAGTCCTGAGATCCATACCTCAATCTTTTGAAATAGCACACTTTTATGCTTCATATAAAACTTCCCTGAGGCGGGGGACGTTGGTAACTCTCTTACAAATTCTTGTTAGTATTAAAGTAATTTTAAACAAAAACTTAAACAAATGCTGTTGCTTAGAACGCTGAATGGGCCATGACCATACCTACATGTACACTGTTTAACTTTGCCTTAAAAAGTGGAACTAAAAATAAAACTAATTTATTATTAAAAGAAAACAAATATTCCAATGTATTATAAATATACTTGAATGGAATATTGAGAAATATTGATAAAAGAAAATGCTTATTTTCATTTTCCGTATTTTAACTGTAAGCATTTATTTTTCACTGCAGTGAAACATATTTTCCATATTTTCACTAGTGATTTGCCAGACTACCATCTTCTTAATTCAGTCAATAAACAAAATTAAAGGGGAAGTCTTTCAAATTGTAATGTCAAAAAAGGGAAAAAATGTGTAAAATAAACAGATGTAACTCACACTCATGAAATATTTATTTTCATGCCACTCAATGAAAATAAATCCTGCATTTATACATGTATAGAAAAAACTTAACGGTTACTGAAAGATAGATCTATATAGTTATTTTTGCATGTATTAGCTCTTCTTCTTACGGTTTTTTAAAAGAAGATTTTTTTTTTTTAGTTTTTACTATATACATAAAGAGAAAACAACCCGTCTGTAGATTTTCCACAGTCTTTCTGGAAAAACTCTGGATAATAACCGATTTTCCATGAATTTTCATGGAAACAAGCTTTCTTCCACAGTATTTACAGAGTACTCTGGAACAATTTTCACGGAGAACTTTGGAGCTTGACTTTTTTATCAAAGAAATAACCATGAAACAGTTCTGGAAACTCTAGAAAGTTAACACTTAGACAATTTCCAAGGAGTTCTACTCTGGAAAACACTTAGTCATTTTTTAGAAAGTTTTGGACTTCTGTATTTACGTATACTTCACTTAATACATTAAACTTTAATATTTTTTCCTAAGAAGGCATAAATAATCTTTTTAATATAAGACAGTTTTCTGGTTTTAAGACATACTTAAAATAAAGATAATTTTAAATATGGCATTGACACAATTGTAAATTAATGACCAGATATTTAAAAATTGCAAGAACAAATGACATTAATTACTTAGCATTGAGATTGGCCATACGTGTGAACTCACTGTATTTAAAAGTAGTAGTTAGCAAAAATAAACACTCATTCATGTCCCAAATCGGGGTCAGGCAGGGAGAAAATTTGTCCCCTGCGCTGTTTTCCCTTTTTCTTAATGATCTTCAATCATATATGCAATCGTATGGTAACGTTGGCATAGAGCTAAAAGATATATATGACTCGACTTTATGGCTTAAACTATTGATCCTGCTATATGCGGACGATACCATTATACTGTCAGATTCCCCGATCGACTTTCAAAATTGTTTAGATACTTTTAATGAATATTGTCAAACCTGGCGACTTAAAGTGAATATAAATAAAACAAAAATAATAATATTTGGTGCTAGAAACTCTCACAACTATAATTTTACATTAGGCACTCAGGATATCGAAGTTACAAACAAATATCACTACCTCGGTGTAACTTTTACAAATAATGGATCTTTTTTGAATGCAAGAAAGCATGTAGTTGAGCAAGCAACCAAAGCAATGTATCTTCTTCTGTCAAAGTCAAACAACGCTGATTTACCAATAGATTTGATGCTTAAACTTTTTGATCATACTGTTCTACCAATTCTAACTTACGGTTCCGAAATATTTGGGTTTGAAAATCTCGATCAACTTGAAAAGGTACACAATGACTTCCTTAGAAAATTAACAAAAGCTAGAAAAAGCACCCCAATGTATATGATTTACGGCGAGCTTGGGAGATACCCTATTGCTATAAATGTTCAAGCCCGTATGATCTCATTTTGGAATAGCACAAATTGAGTTATCAATTATATAACTACGTTCTTAATCAAACTAATTATGAATTTAAATGGATTAGCAAAATAAAAAGTATTCTAAATGGGGTAGGGAGACCAGATCTTTGGCAAAATCAACATAATATAACTGAAAAATATATACATAGATCAGTAAAACAAACACTTATAGATCAATTTAGACAAACATGGCATGCACAAATTCAGTTGTCTAATAAAGGCATAATTTACAGTAACTTTAAAGAAAGCCAAGATTTTGAAAACTATTTCAAGCTTTTACCAATGCGTGATTGTATAACTTTATTTAAATACCGAACTGCAAATCACAGGCTCCCAATTGAAACGGGCAGATGGGATGGAACCTTACTTCAAGAAAGAAAATGTAATTTATGTACCCGTAATGAAATAGGTTCGGAAAGACATTATTTGTTAAACTGTGACCGTTTTCAAAATGAAAGAAGAACACTCTTCAGACAAATCAACTTTCATGAAAATACCATATCCGATTATGGTTTTAAGCTTCTATTAACATCAACTTCCGTAAGGATACTTTCGAAAGTATGTGGCTTCATACGACTTATAATAAAAAATTCTGATAGGCCCCTATACAAGTGATAAGATACCAATGCCTCTCTATTTACCTCTTTTTATTTATCTTTACTTATATTTATTTGTGTTATTTTTGCACATAATATTAATTATGAAAAGAAATGTCATTTTATATGTATTTTTTTAACTACAAAGCTTACAACCAATTCATACTCTTATGTAACTATAAATGAACGTATGCACTTACCAGACAATGTCAATTAAGTCCAATTCACCTTTATTATACGATAAATTAACCTGTAATAACACTACTGTACGTAAACATGCCCCTATTCTGTACGGAACAATTATTTTTTATTTTTAGCTTTGTTTCAGTAAGTTA